CATAAAATAGTAGCATGCAATAAGATTATGTCCTAATAGAAATCGCGGAGCATATAAGAAAATAGTGAGCTAACAAGTACGTAGTAATACATGCTATCATGCAAAATGATGTCATTTGAGTACTTCACGAATTTAAGTGCCAAATTTTGGTGATAAATGTTTCAAGTATTGTTTCACAATAAGAACCAGGTTGTAATAAAGTGCCAATCTATGAAAACTTTTCTGTCATACTCATATTTGGGAAAAACTTTATTTATCTCGATCTATTAGATAGATAATGTAGCATTCATCACCATTTCGATGGTATTGAAATTATTGGAAGACGTGCATATAAAGATATACCTTGATCGATTTTCCCTATACATATGAACAATCACTTCTGCTTATGGAGTAGTGATGAATATATTGTTAGTAAAAACAAGTAAATCTGTATGTTTTTGTCTTTGTTTTACATTGATCTTTGTGTTATTATAATTTATAACATTAACGACTAAACCATTAATTACTGGTAATCCATTAGAAACCAAATGAGATCTTAAGAAGATATGGAGTGCTTTGTGTGTATTATATTAGTACTTTTTAATTTGAAGTAAAGTTGTGAAGAAAGAGGAGAATTACGGACGAGTTATTCGTTAATGGTGTACATAATAGTTGATGAGTAGACCTTTGAATGAGGTCAATATTTTGACTTTCGTAGTTGGTCTTTAAATCTAAGAGAAGGTCAGGGAAGGAATCAATTAATTTACGTTGGACGACACTAGCTCGATCATATCACCATCGACATAATTAGGCTTGTTTGCTTAATAGCCAAAATAAGGATTTGTAAATTGATAGGTTGAGTATGGTGTAGAAATTGCTGAATCTTAACAAGGATGGATGGAATATGGTGAACCTACAAGTATAGAGGATTTTCAACCTACAATAGTTACTCCGTGTTCCTCAACCATAATTCTTTTATCTTCTTTGACGTGGGACAACTCACAAAGTCACAATAGATACTCAATACATAGTACTCAATTCTATCTTAGACAATCCATAAACGTGGTACCAAGGATAGATATATGTTGATTGAAAGCGTAAGTTCAACCAATTGCCCTATGGTTAATTGTTATGTTACATAGTGACGTAATAATCTAATAACTTTAAAGATCCTTTTGCTTATGCTTTCTTACATCATAAAACCCTATAGATCTTATGCATCTTTCTCTGAACATAGGGGTATATTCGTCAAAAAATCATAAATAATAATTTGATAATAATAAAGTAAAAATAAGATGTACGAGATTGATTTTCATGTTCTTTAAGGTTAGGTCACATGATAACCCGACCCGCAAAAATTGCAGTGGGTTTTCCAGTGACTTGAACCCTTTAGATATCGACACGTGTCCAAAATCCCTTGGTTATTGTAAGGTTTTTCTACCTCATTTTCTCTCTCCTCGAACCACCAACGTCCAATCAATCAACTTCAGTACACACAGTCATCATACATATTCCAACGACCCAAAGTTTAACAGAAAATATTAACATAAATTGATTAAGAAAATTGCTGCTATAAACAGGTACTTTTATAAGTCCAACTGTTACTCTACTGTTATCGTTTTTCATTTATTCATATTGTATTGCCAAATAGGGTATAATAAGATTTCAATATGAAACGGGTATGCAATAATGAGCTGCATGTATAATTGAATACGGTATAAAAGATTGTTGAATCTATTAATGGTTCTTACAAAGTTACAATCATACGAGTACATTATTAAAGTTACAATTGAGGTGTACCTATATGTATGCAATTTGATGTGACAGTACGGGTATCAGTGGCGGATTCAGAATTTTCAACTCGGGGGGACAATGCTTAACTTACAAAAAGCTTAACAAAAAATAAAAACAAAAAATAACTCAAACACACAAATTGGTTAATACTTAGTATTAAAATTTCAAAATAAAAAAACATACTTAGTCATACAATTCAAAATGATGAAAAAAATTACATTTCTTGAACCAATGAACACTAAAGCGACGTAAACCGGACACTTGTCTTTGAGGAAAGTCATGAGTTTTTGGTTGGCAAGGTTTTTTAAGAATATAACCCCTCCTAACTGCATTTCGTTCATTTGCAGGGTAATCCATTATGTTTATTCTTTTTCCCGGATCATGAGGAAGAAGTTCAACATCGTATACCAAATTTTTCTCCAATGGCACATTACAAGTACTTGAACCACCCATTTCCATATCATCTTCTTGACTTTGAGGGGAGCTTAATGAGGGGGAGTTATTGGACTCATTTTCATGGAGTTTCTTTCTTTTAAACATGAATTGTCGAAGATCGGGTTGTTTTCTAGTAGCCTTGGATTTGTTTGAATTAGGTGAATCATTTGACATTTCCTAATTAAATTGAAAAATATATATCAATTTCCACAATTCACATCATTGCATAGAATGCATACTAATAAAACGGTAAAACCTAAGATTAAAATTGCAATTAAAATTAAAATTCAACAAAGATTGCAATTAAAATTAACAATAATTAAACAAAAATCTGAAAATTAGGGTTAACAATTGTCAATTGGGGATTTCAAATTGGGAATTTCGAATTAGGGTCAGCAAATAGCAAGACATACCATCAGTGACGGACGACCGAGGCTCGACGGTCAGACGGTGGTTGCCTGGTTGCACGCAGGCGGCGCCGGTGCACGCAGCTAGTGAAGAGGCTGCCGATTTGCGAAGACCGAAGTGGTGCTGTGGTGACTTGGTGAACTGGTGAGTGGTGAGGAACTGAGAGCAGCGACGCAGCAGGGTGGTGGTTGCCTGGTTGGTGGAGCAGTGACGCACGCCTCGACGGTCGATCTCAGTGGAGGCAATGGCGAATTGGAGGAGTGAAGACTGAGTGTTGTTGGCTGTTCTTCGTTCTGTAGCAGTGTCGCGTTTTGCTTTTTTTTGGTTTTTTTCACTTTTTTTTTTTAATTTTTTTTTAAAAATGGGGGGACAACTGTCCCCCCATGTCACTTAATTGGGTCCGCCACTGACGGGTATATGATTTACGGAGTAATCAATTTCATAGTATCTGTGGTGTGCCGATTTTTATTGTGTCACAGAATAACAACATTAGTTATTTAGAATTCTAAAGCGACCAATAAAGGTGTACACTAAATATAACTTGAAGTATTCCGTAACAATTAAAGGTTACATATAGATTGAAATTATGTGAGTTTAAGTAAAGATGGCATATGCATGCTTATAAGTACATATGTTGATTCGATTTGGTCATCTACAGGACATATAGCCAATTTATGCAAAATAAAGGCTTACTCCCTCCGTTCCCAAAAGTTCGACCCTTTGGCCTAATTTTAGTCCCAAAATGTTCATCTCATTTCCATTTTAATACCCTCTAATTTGCAATAATATTTATGCAAAATTAGCTTCCCCATGCAAATTTTGCTTTTTCTATATACTTTTATTACTTTCTCTCTTTACTTTTTTGCAATTCCAATGTAAATTTTCCTTTTCAATTTACTTTTCTTAGCTTCCCCATACACTCTTATACTTCTAATAACTTTCTTAATACCCGCGAAATCAACCCAAAAAGGGTCGTTCTTTTGGGGACGGAGGGAGTACAAAACAATAGTAGTGAGATTTAAATTTAGTGACCTGTTTTGCTACCAAAAAAAAAAAAAAAAAAAGGTGTAACGGTATGGAGAGGCAATCTTTCCTTATAACCTAAACACAAGAATATAAAATATGTTCATATTTGAAATTTCTCACACTTAAGGGTTAGAATCAATTGAGTACATATCAAGACATCTACTCTTGTCCTTCCCTCAGCCAATAATAATCTGGTGAATTATATGCTGTCATATCAATAGGTTTTAAGCACTAGATAAGATAATAAGGGACTTCATAATACTTACAACATCTTGTAAAATTAGAGAGCTTTAAACTAGTTGATTAATTTGTTAAATTTTATTAGACATGCTACACATGTACTTCTTCCTATAAAAAGTGATGAATTACTTGCCTAATTCTCTTAGATAAGTTTTTGTCGATGGAAGTTCACTTAGATAAGCATCTCTTTATTTTAAAAAATAAAAAATAAAAAATCTTAGAAAAATTTCAATTTCAGTTGAAAGTCTTACCTTTTTGTATATAGTCATATACAAGTATCAAGTATGTTTTACTTCCTTTGGCTTTTAGTTGCAACTAACACATATGACTTTCACACTTGTGACCATACATATTAGACTATTAATATTAAGATGTATCTATAAATGTTTTGTAAATAATGTGTAATTTGTATATGATATTTTAGTAGAGCAATATGGGAAAAGTATTTACCGAGCATATAAATTTTGTTTTTAGGGAAGTATGAAAATGCGAGTAAGAAAAATAGAATAAAAAGGTTGGGGGATTTAAGAAAAGAAGTATGAGAGTGATTGAAAACGTGTGAATTATTAGATGTGTATGGAGATAAATATATAAGGATGTTTATGTTTGGAAACAATAAGGAGTATTATAAAAGTGAGTTGAAAAAATAGCTCAAATAATAAAATTAAGTTAAAAACAAAAAGGCTATTTTTTGTCTTTAGTGTAGGTCAATTTTATTCACCTTGAAAAACATAATTAGTTTCAATGCAAATCAGGTCTAATCATGGTTAATCATGTCCAATCAGGTGTAATATAAGATGAAATCAGAGCTAATTAGGTCCAATCAAATCTTATACCGAGTAAGTTCTATTCATATAGGTTAAGTGCAGAGAGCGCTTCCCAAGCTCCAATAAATATTCTCTTTAAATTATATGACCAAAAAAGTATGAAAATCTTTGTGTTATTTCAAGTACTCGAAAACACTAAAATGAAACATTTTAAGATCTACGACCCTTCAAAAAATACCCAGTATAACTTTTTACATCCAAAGTAACTACCACCCCAATTTACCTCCAATCTTAAGTAGCTAGGAATCTAGGACAAGTTCCATCAAAAATATCTCAACTAGGACATGGTATCATTGGCCCACAAATTTTCTTTCTTTCTTTCTTTTTTTCTTTTATTTACCTAAAAGTAATTAATTGAACAAACAAATGTTATCAGTTCATGATTAGAGATTAAAGGGTATCATACATCTAATTCAATATAATATAGTCCCCTCATAAAATAATTCATCAAAAAAAAAAAAAAAAAAAAAAAAAAAAAAAGCAAACAAATTCCTGATTTAAAAGAAAGGAGCTAGCTTTCTTTGTTATTGAGAGTAGAGAGAGAAAAAGTAGAAGAAAATGGGGAGAGGAAGAGTGGAGTTGAAGAGGATTGAAAACAAGATCAACAGACAAGTAACATTTGCAAAGAGAAGAAATGGTCTTTTGAAGAAAGCTTATGAACTTTCTGTACTTTGTGATGCTGAAGTTGCTCTTATCATCTTCTCCAATCGAGGAAAACTCTATGAGTTTTGCAGTAGCCCTAGGTTTGTTTTTACACCTTTCCCCCTTCTCTTTTCAAAAATCCGCCCCAAACATACGGTTTTAAACGACGGTTCATGTTAGCCGACCCTAAGAATTAAAGCTTCGTTTTTTTTTTTTTTTTTTGTTATAAAATTCCCTAAAACAATTTAAAGAGACTAAGCTACCTACATACTTATATCAATAAAGTTTGCTTTTTTTATATGTAAAGAAAAATAAAAGAAGAAATTTTGTATGAAGTTTTTAAGGATCTTGAGAAAGAGGTGGGAAAGAAGGGCATAGGTTTCCGTTTTGGTGAATGTCTCAGCGTTTTTAGCAGTTTTTTGTGTATTCCCTTATTTTTATTTTTAAAAAATTGAAATGGGAGTTTGAGGTTTTTTTTTTAAAAAAAAAAAAAATTAATTTGTTGTGTTTTGTGTGTTTAGTTTTGAATAGCATTAGATCTGGTCTCATGTAATATTTGTCCTGTGTTTGGTTTTACTAACAATAGCCTCTACTTCCCAACCTTCTTTTTCTGTTTTTTTGGTTCCATTTTTATGCTAAACCAAACTTTGTATTAATTCATCTTCTTCCTACTTTTCTTCTCTCTTCCTCTCTTGCTTTTTAAATCAGTTTCTTGCAACAAATTTTGATTTTAAAATTTTCTTCTCTGGAGCTTAATCTTCAGTTCACCTTATAATTTTAAAGTAAATTTATTTAAAATATCCAATTTTAAAGATCTTGGTTTTCAAATTGAGTATTTTTAATTTTTCATTTAATCGGCTAGGAAGATTCAAGTGATATTAAGTTAAATCAATTTCCGTCAAGCAAATATGGATTGAGTCTTTGCTAAATTTTTAGCCACCTTTATATATACAGTAAAACAATTGATCAGCTGCTTTTCATTCTTGAATGTGCTCATTTTTTGTATTTTTCAGGGCTTCTTTAATTTTTTAATGATTTATCCTAGGTTTAAGGTAATCATTTGGGATTTGTTCCAACTTGAATTAATTAATTCCCTTTCATAACTTCTACTAATAAGGGCTTACAGCTAGATGCCTAGATTTGGGGTTTTTGACTTTTTTTGTTTTTTTATTTTAAAAAAAAAAACTAATTTCTGCTGAAAAATACAAAACTTTTTTGTATCATTAGGGTTTTATACTTTTCTTTAAATTTCTGATTTCAAAATTGCCAGGTTTCTGAAATTTCAGATTCCCAGGAATTTCTCCTGATATTAATTCTTAGATCTGTAAATTTTGAGTTGATTTAATTTTTTTTGGACAATCTCTTGCTCTCTTAAGAGAATGAGACAAGATAATCATTATTTTAGCAAGAAACCAGTGGATTTCTAGCAAAATCCATCTGAAATGCTTAATTGTATTTTGGGTTTCAATATTCTTAAGTTTTGCTTTTTATTTTTTGGGTTTTGTGAAGTCTCATGAAACAAACAGCTAAGATGACAAGGGGTTCAAGTCCTTGGTATCCACACAAATTATCCAATCATATTTCCCTGAAGATCCATGTGATTTGAGTACATGAAATGATTTTAGTGCTTGGTTTTTATTTGCATTAATATTTGGGATTTTTCTTTGTTTAGGAAAATTAAAAGTAAATTCATGAGTTTATTCTTGTTTTCATGGAAGTCTGATATGATCCAGACATTAGTTATTATATGCATTTGGCTCTTGTCTTATGAGTTTATGTATCTATCGACAATATCCAATATATTGTATGATTAAAAAGAAAAGAAATTTTACACCCTATTTTATGGTAGTTAACTTTAATTGTAATGTTTTTGGATGGGTGGAGATTAAAAAAAAAATCTATTGTAATGCCGATGAATATATAAATGTCGCTTAAAGCTTTGTTTGCCCTAGAGAGCAATAGTTGTGTGCAATTGGAAGATATCAATACATTAGTGCCTACACTATTTCCTAAGAAGCCACACTTAGCTAGGTAACAAGATATGATGCTAGGTTTTTTTTTTTTTTTTTTTTTTTTTTTTTTTTTTTTTTTTTTTTTTAATTTCTTGCAAATTACATTGAAAATCTTGCTATTGATGCAAGAGCTACTTGTCAATTTGTCATGCTCGGTCTCTAACTCTTACTACAGTGATTGCTTTAACAAGTAGAACAATGATGCTTGCTGAAGAAGTGTTTAGCTTAATTTATTGCTTTCTGCAGCATACATATATCATATATGTGTCTCATATTGATCATATGATTTGCGTAATCTTCTCTAGACAATCTCATGTAAGTGTGTAATACAATAAAATGACCATAAAAGGTCTAATGGTTGAATAAAGATTGAAGGTTTAAATTACTTTGTTTTCAAAAATTCTCTAATTAATTTTGAATTTATGTCTCAATTGAAGTTACTCTATACATTCTTTGCCTTCTAGCATGCTCAAGACTCTAGAGAAGTATCAAAAGAGCAACTATGGACCCCCAGACAACACCGTCTCTACAAGAGAAGCCCTGGTATGTAAATTACCCACGAAAATTTTATTCTTACCCACGAAAATTTTATTCTCAGAATTGCCTTGTTTACATTTCATTTGCTTAATTTGCTGAAATTTCAAGGAGTATACCCATAATATGTTCAGAAAATGACTGAATTCTCGAGTGACTGACCATGTCTAGGCTAGGATGCAAAATGGCTACAAGCAAGTTGGAGATTGATGATGAAATTTGAAATTTAGATGACCAAGAGGAAAAAATGAGGTCATAAGAAAAGAATTACAAGCCATATCATAATGATTTGGAAATAGAAATCAACATTACATATTTAAAAACTGATTTTGCTCTGAATGGATGACTCTTGAGATTGTGGCTTACACAAGATGATTGGTAGAATTTATAATACGAATTTCCTACATTCCCACATAAGCGTTTTATAAGGTTAAACAAGCTGATTTATAAGTTGTTAATTATTGTATGGGTAATCCAAACTGACATATATTGGCAATTTTAAACTTAACAAGTAATAGAGTATTGATATTTTAAGTGGTTGGTGAAGAAAAAAAATATGTACAAAGTTAATTAAAAATGGTTGGATTAAATGGTTTGGAAGGAATATTGATTAGAGCCTTAGAGGTAGAATCAAGTGTAACAACTTAAGTTTTAGTACATTCAATTATGTCACTTTTATTTATGCTTGTTTATAAACCAAACAAATGTATGATTTCTCATTTATGGCACCTTACATCTTGCTTGCTTGCTAAATTTCATGCCATTGGTGAAATGTAAACCCTAATTATAGTGTTGTTGACTAATAATTTTACCTTTAGTTCTCCAACTTATAGCATGTTCACTTTCTAGAAAAATATTAACAATTCGGATTTTTTTCTTTATAAATAATAATGATTAGTTATTAACTTGAGTTTAAGTTTTTCAAATTTTCATCTCTAATCCACTTTTGCCTTTTGAAGTATAATAGGAGAAATTCCCTCAAAAAAAAGTATAATAGGAGAAAAAAAATAAATTAATGCCATAATGTGATGCATCTTGCTTTTATATTGTGAAGCAGCAGACAACTATTATGTACAAGATTGAGGATCAATGCATCAATCATACACAAATACACAAGCTCTATTTGTCTTATAACATATCCAATCATTGTGTTCATTAAGTTTATTCGATTCATCTATTCATTTGGTCATTTTATCATTTCAACAGAATGCTAGTATTGGATTTATTGAGTGAATCTTTTCAGTTCTATATATATTAATACTCAATTCTTTCCTAACTAATTTTAATGTACTGTATTAATGTTTCTCCTTGGTTGTAATGAATGAAGGAAATAAGTAGCCAGCAAGAGTACCTAAAGCTTAAAGCGCGTTATGAGTCCCTGCTGCGGACACATAGGTCAGAGGGATCTGCTAGTTACATGTCAATTGTTCTTTCTTTAAAATTTGTGGTTACTAGCATGAACTAAAGCTATGATGTTTTTCTCATATACTATTGTTAGGAATCTCATGGGAGAAGATCTTGGTCCTCTAAGCAGCAAGGAGCTTGAATCTCTTGAAAGGCAGCTTGATATGTCACTGAAGCAGATCAGATCAATTAGGGTACTAAACCGATATCCTTGCCTTATTACATGCTTATAGTTCGTGAAAATTATATTGGAAGAATATGGTTTGCAAGTGTATACTTTCTCTTACAAGGAAGAAAGTATAAAATACTTGAACTCTACAATAAGTAGTATCATTTGTACTAAAGTGTAGGTTCTGGTTGATATTATGTTACTTTTATGGTCTACATAGATATTTGGGTATGCATGGTATTAACACTGCTAGCTAGTTGTTGAATCATGTTTTGATAATCTTTTGAAAATTTAACCGATTAATTAGGGTATTGAAATTATACCCTTGCCTTATACATGTGTAGTTGGTGTTAACAAAGAAACCTAACATATGATTGAATTTTCACAGAAACTGTATTTGGACTCTATTACTAGCAGTGTCATCATCTCCTTAAGCTAAACTGAAGTGTGAAATTTGACCGAGATTATGTTTATTTAGATAGACATGGAATACGAGTACCTTAGTTCTTGAAGTCTTCTTTCTATAAAACGTCTAGAGAGAGTGCTACGATATTTTGAAACTAGCCAGCTCGGCCTAACTCATTTGATGGCCAAGTAGTACCTTAGTTCATGGCTTTTCATCCGACTGTTTTCGATTTCTTTTTTTTAACAATCTATTCCTTGCAGACACAGTGCATGGTGGATCAACTCACTGATCTACAAAGGAAGGTAAACTAGCTACTAGTAGCTAACAATTTTCGAAGAACTGAAAATTCTTAACAATTATCACCAAAACTATTACTTTTGCTTCCTAACTCAGTAGAATATCTTTGCTGCTGCAGGAACATATGCTTAATGAAGCAAACAGAACTCTAAAACAAAGGGTGCGTAGCATATCTTCCTTTTTATTCCCTCCTCCCACATAATTTTACCTTCATCTGGATGCATAGTTTTCGTATCACTAGTTCGCAAAATATATAACTATCGATGCACATGAGACAACTAATTTGGAACAGAGGAAGTACGCATCCTGTGTTATGGTGATTGAATTATCAAAGCCACTTGCATGATTTCTGTCTGTGATTATATTTGGTATACTGTTATTTCGCGAAATTTAATTGTTCATAGACTCGAGTAAAACTATTGTTGTAGTGTATCCTTATCTGTGTTACGTTACATTGAATTGATACAGTTGATTGAAGCAAACCAAGCAAGTTCTCTTCAATGGGGGAATGTGCAAGATGTTGGTTATGGTAGACAGCCTGCTCAACCTCATGATGATACCTTCTTTCACCCTCTTGACTGTGAACCAACACTGCAAATGGGGTACGTATGCAACTTTAGCGTTTCCTATATCAATTATAACAAACCGAGCATGGCATGGGTATTACAGTATTACCTAGTTAGTTAAGCTAATACTGTATAGTATTGCAGTTACCAGCCTGATGCAGTAAATGCAGCAGCCGCGGCAGGAGCTAATGCCAACAATTTCTTACCAAATTGGCTACCTTGAACATGCCTTTGTCCTTAGTTAAAAAGGCTTCATATAAATGGCTGTGAATTCGAGCTGTAATCCATATATGCTGAGTGTTCTCTTGTCATAATTCACAAGACCAAAAGTATACGATTATTGTGTGTTTGTGTGTAAGAACAACTCTGAACATTATTTGCTGTTATATTTTTGTACTTTGGATAAACCTTGTCTGCAAATGGAATATTTACTAGTAACTAGTAATATTGCTTTCTTATGCTAAGCTCTTGCACATCGCTAATACATAAGTATTCTTGTATATATGTTGTATGAGTAATCATAATCTAATTATCTAACCAACTACGGAGTATTTCTATTAGTCTTGTTAAAGGACCAACTCAACCAAAAGCTTAAACTCATAGTTGAGGCCTAGGAATATGTTTTTATACTCTATCACGCTCCCTCACACGAGAGCCCGTTGGGTTTAAAATGTGGATGCAACATGGGCCTTTTTCATACCCAGCGCTTAATATTCCACTTGAAAGTGAGGGGTGGATGAGATTCGAACCCATGACCTTTTTGTCACGCTAGCTCTGATACCATGTTAGAGGACCAACTCAACTAAAAGCTTAAGCTTATGGTTGAGGCTTAGGATTATGTTTTATACTCTATCACGACCTCTCACATGAGAGCCCATTGGGCTTCAGTGTGGATGTGCGGCTTGTTGTGAGTTCCAAATTCCAATCTTGGTGCTTTCGTTTTAAGAATTCAGCTCGCTGTCATGTCCAATCATTCTTCCAATTCCCTTTACTTGACTAATATTCTTACAAATGATTTGCTCTGATACCATGTTAAATACGGGTTTGGACCACACCCGCAAATCAAGAGAGAAAGTCCACTTCACATGTCCAAAGGAGGCTCCATCCCAAAACCATATGGTAATAGGAGGAGTAGCCCATTATCCTTATAAAGTGTTTAACTCTCTCTTCTTTTCTCAATGTGGGGCACTTACATGTGTTATTTGGTAGGATATTTCAACACTCCCCCACACATGTAAGGTCCCTTTAACTTAAGGATCACTTAATCCAATTCAATTTGCCCCAGAATACTTAATGCCATTAAAGGTCCTAAACCTTGGGTCCACTACAAGAAAACAGCTTAATTCCGTCGGAAAAAATCCGTCGGAAACATCGGAAATTCCGTCGGAAATTGGTCTTCCGACGGAATTCCGTCGGAATAAGTCTGTCGCAAAACCCTTTGTAGGAAATTTGACCTTTTCTGACGGAATTTCCGTCAGAAGGCTAGTTTCCGACGGATTTATTTCTGTCGGCGCTGTTTTTTTACTTTAATCGAGAATCCGTCGTAATTTTCCAATGCAAAAGATTCCGTCGGAATATACCTCTTTCGACGGAATTTTCCGTCGGAATCTACTTCCTTTCGACGGAAATATCCGTCGGAAATGTTAAAAAAAAAAAACAACCCCACCCACCTTACCTGAACCCATCACCAGCCCTAGCCACCTCCAACCCACCCAGACCACCCCACCCAAACCCTAACCCACTAGACCACCACAACTAACCCCATCTCCACCCACCAACCGTACCCTCCACAAACACCGAAAACACATGTCCCCCAACCACCACCACCGCACCCTTACCTAGACCCACCAAACCCAGACCCCTAACCCGAACCCACCCACCATACCCACAAAAAAACCACCCACAACCGCCCAAAAACCACCCACAACCGCCCAAAACCACAACCACAACCCAAGCAACGAAACAATGTGTAAAATAAATTTAAAAAAAAAAAGCATACCTTTAAATCGAGTTTTGCTTTGAATGTCACCTCAAATTTGGTTTAATATGGCCACCATGAAACCTCTAGATCTAGAGGTTTCATGGTCGAATTTGACCAAAAAAACCATGAAACACCGCACCTCAATGCTGCGCCACCGTAGAACAACCACATTGCTTCGTTGTGGCGAGAACCGCCACCGTAGAGCCACCTTCAAACTAGAGACAAGGAGAAGGGGAAATAACGAGAAAAGGAGAAGGGAAAACGAGAAGAGGAAAGAGGAGTTCACAGAGAAACAGAAGAGGAAAGAGGAGAGGAGTGAGAAAGAGAAGAAGAGAGGAGAGAGAAAGAGAAGAGAGGAGAGAAGAGAAGGTTTTTTTTTTTTTTTTAAAAAAAAAAAGTCATAATTTCGTCTGTAGGGCAGTGAGAAATTTCCGACGGAATTTAACTCCGTCGGAAAGTTCCTACGGATTTGAAATCCGTCGGAAATTAAGTATTTTCCCACGAATTTTAATTCCGTCGGAAATTTTTCGATGGAAAATTTAAATTCATCGGAAATGTCGTTTTTTCCGACGGATTTTTATGTCCGTCGGAACACGTCCGTAAGAAATTGACCTTTTTCTAGTAGTGGTCTGGCAATATACTCAAGCCATTATAGGTCCCATACCGTGGGCCTGTGCCTTATACTATGTTAAAGGACCAACTCAACCAAAAGCTTAAACTGATAATTGAGGCCCAGGAATATATTTTTATACTCTATCACGCCCCCTCACACGAGAGCCCGTTGGGCTTAAAGTGTGGATACAACATGGGCCCTCTTCATACCCAACGCTCAATATTCCACTTGAAAGTGAGGGATGGATGAGATTTGAACTTGTGACATTTTTGTCACGCTAGCTCTGATACCATATTAGAGGACCAACTCAATCATACCATGTTAAAGAACCAACTCAACCAAAAACTTAAATTGATAGTTGAGGCCCAAGAATTACATACTCTATCAAGTCTGTTGTATTTCCTGGCTTAGTTCAGTATGCGTGAAATCTCGTAATTTGGTTAGTTCTAAGTTCTGACACCTCAAACTAAATCTCAACTAATTGCTATTGATATTTTAAGTGAAATGTTCAAGTTATTGAAAGTATGAATACATCATGAATGGATAATCCATTATACGGAGTAGTTAAAATTAAGATTTTTTTTTTTTTTTTTTTGTCTTAGACCACCTAAATAAACATATAACACTTTAAATAGCACTTGATTTATTAGTGAAAGGATTTTACATCAAAGGTCATGCATAATTGCTCAAATCTCACTAGATCCACTTTGAAAGTGTTTGCCTCATCATCTCTACTCCTAAGGGACTTGGCTCAATATAGCCTAAATTGGTGGATTCGTTAGGATATAGTCTGGTACTCTGGTTAAGTCATGTTTCTCTAGCGTATTAGAAAGTACTCTATACATTTTTTTAAAAGAAAATAAATACTTTTTTTTTTCCAAATTCAATAAACTTAAGCCTCATCATAAGGCCCTGTTTACTTCACCTTATTTTTGCTGAACTAAAATTATTTTTACTGAACTGAAATTTTTTTTGCTGGATTTAAATTATTTTTACAGAACTAAAATTAATTTTACTGAATTGAAATTATTTTTACTGATTTTCTGTTAAATTTCTTCATCAAAGTTACTGATTTTTACTGAACTGAAATTATTTTTACTGAGCTGAACTTATTTTTGCTGAACTGAACTTATTTTTACTGAACTGAAATTATTTTTACTGATTTTTTTTAAAGGTGAAGTGAACAGGGCCTATGTTTTGATTAAAATAGTTGAAATCTAGTAGCATGCTGAGCTGAACTAATTTTTGCTGAACTGAACTTATTTTTACTGAATTGAAATTATTTTTACTAAATATTATTTTTTTTGTAAGGTAAAATAAACAGGGCCTATGTTTTGGTTAAAATAATTGAAATCTAGTAGCATTGAAATTTCTGATCTCAAAATCTTCTGTAAAAACGGAAGTATAACTATAACCTTACAAGCTCAAGCAAGGACATGATAAGGAATGTGGGCTTATTATTGGACCAACATTAATGTTTGATGCGTGATCCATCTTACTGGACTCAATGGTTGCTCATACATGGCCCAATTATGAGGCCCAATTAAATACTTCTTATTCGGCCCATATTGCTTATTTTTTTTTTTTTTTTTTTTTTTTTTTTTTGTTTTTCTTTCTATTTTTGTGAGAGAATGAAGAAAGTTGGAGACGGGGATCCAAAGCAATGTCTCACCAACTTTATTAGACTAGGCCAATAAATCTGTTTTTCTTTCTACCACATATTTCCCTTTTTGTATTAATGTACTTCCCCAATTCAAAGATATTTGCAACTTGCTTGTATGGAAGCAAAAAGACACGTGGTTTCCATACAAGAAAAACGATGTACGAGTACGGGGTAATATTTGTTTATGGAATGGAGGAGTTATTATAAATAAGTACTCCATCCGGTTTTTTAAGTGTCTCACTTTTTTAAATTAGTCGTTTTTTTTAAGTGTTTCATTATCAAATTTAGAAATCTCACTCACATTATAAATTATGGAGTATTTTTCTCTCTTCCTTTTAACTCCACCACCATTCTATAATATTTTTTTCTCACACAATATACCTGAAAGCTTTTGAAGACTTCTGAAGTGTAATCCTCGAAGCGATTCTCCATTTATATTTGGCAAAAGCTAATGAACGTCTCGGGGGCGTTGGATAAGCTAACTAAAGGTAGAAATATTAAATTAAAATAAGGATATTTTTTATTTTAACACCTGACAAAAACCCGAAAATGGTTTTTAACACCCCAAAAAAAATGTATTTTAACACCAGAAAAATGTTACAAAAATGGTTTTTACCACCACTTAACGGTTTCCATCCAAAAATTCTGTTAAGTGAGGTCCACAGTGACACGTGTCACCATTAAACTTGTTTTCAAAAAATAAAAATTCAAAAAAAAAAAAGATTTTTTGTTTTAAAAACTCAAACAACCAGCAGGCAGCCACCAACGGTGGCCCTTCTCCCTAGCCAACTCCCGAACCACCCCTTCCCAGCCCCCCGCCACCGGGTTTCGCCACCGAACCAGCCCTAACACCGGAAATCGGCATACCCTCGCTTCCCAAAAAACCAAAACCGGTTCCTTCTCCCTTCCCGCAGCCCAGAAATCGAGAAACGCCACCAACGTTGAACCATTCCCCCACCTTCGAAATCGGTCCCGACAACTACGGTTTTGGGGCTAGGTTGGGGTGGGTTTCGGGATCCGGTGAAGTTTGGGTGTTCGAAGGTGAGGTTGGGTATCGGGTTAGTGGTTAGGTGGGGTTGGTCGTTTTTGATTCAGGGGTGGCGGGGTTGGTCGTTTCCGCAACCTTCCTTCCCCAGAAACGGCGACGAATTTGGCCATAATGGCCGAATTCGTGGCCGTTCTTGGAGCAACAGCCATAAAATCAGAG